TAATTCAAAGATTCAGCTCAGTGTGAAGAAATGCTGCAGTTTGTAATGACAGCTATTAAATGAATCAGTCATTATAAACATAATCTCTATAAAAAGAACAAAATACTTAAAATATTTCCATAAAACATTAATAAATTGTCCCAAAAAGAAAGAGAAAAAAAGAGTAAAATGTTATAAAACTATCACTAAGGACATACATGGCAGGAGCTTGGCCAGTCCAGTGGTGGTCATCAATGCTGTCAGGCCTACCGTAGATATGAGCTGTACAATAAATAGAAGAACCAAACCTTCTTGGACATTATCTGGAACAACAAAGCCCTCGTCAGGTGTTGGGGAACCCAGACAGCCGGATGAGAAGTGGACCACTGGAACAAGGAACATGTTGGGATGCTGCTGTACAAGCTATCCCAGTGATACCTGAACGTGGGTCCTGGGCGGCTGTGGCTCCGGTGGGAGAGCCTCCAATCCAAGGTTGGTGGTTCGATCCCCTCCACAGTCCAAGTGTCCATGGGCAAGACACTGAACCCAAAGTTACTCCTGATGTGTGTGTGAATGAGAAAACACTGTAAAGCGCTTTGAGTAGCACGAAGGTAGAACGGTGCTTTAGAAGTGCAGACCATTTACCACGCGCCTGTGGACACCGCATAACCCAACATCTAACTACGAAACAACTTCAACTCAGTGTCCTCATGTCTGTAAACACAAACTGTTATCACAGCTTGAGATTGATGAGGTACAATAAAGATGCTGCAACAAGCGACAGCCAGGACAACAGGGGTGATGTCATACCAACACATACAAGCCCATACAACCTTAATGCTAGGTCAGACTGAAGATCATAACCAAGCTAAGTACCTGTTACTACCGCTGCTGTAGGAGAAGTACTGCAGAAAGTCTGCTGGAAGACGTGAATGCAGCTGTACTAACTATCCCAACTGGGACAGTCACTGAGACCAGTGTTCTGAATGCTTGCTTGTAGGGAATCTGAGGGAACTTTGAATTGATGGATTCTCTGTACGCTGTTTAAAATCCGTCATGTCTTCACCTTACTATGGAAAGTGCTATGAGATGACATATGCTGTGCATTGAGGTTTTATGAATGAAACTGAATTGATGCATGCAACAGAAACATCGGTACTGAAGATGCTCAGCTACAAGTTGAACACCATCAGCCATAAGAAGCAGCATCCCTCATGGAGGAGGAGGCTGGAGGCCAAGATCAAGGCAACAAGGATAGAAATTGTCCAGCTATCAGAACGACAGAAAGATGTGATGAAGAAAGGACCACCTGGACGATAATACAACAAGCTGTCCAGACCTGAAGTACTGGAGACTACCAAACAAAGGCTTACAGTCCTGGCCACCTGTCTGAAGAGGTACAGTAGAGAAGTAGAAGCCAGAAGGATCAACAGGATGTTCCTTATCTGAAGTGTACTCTCCATGGGAGAGACCCACCCAGGGCTGAGAATGAACAGTACTGGAAAGATCCACAGCAATCTAGCAGAACAAGACCCAGTGACCATCATAACAGCAGACATCCAAGAAAGAGTGTCAAGAATGAAGTGTTGGACAGCACCAGGCCCTGACATGAGCCACGCCTACTGGCTAAAGAAGCTAACTGCACTCCATGGACCCCCAGTAACACAAATGAAGCAGCAGCTAATGGATGGGACCCACCCAGAGTGGTTAACCCAGGCACAGCAGTCCTGATAATGAAGGTTTCCAAGAAGGGAACAATCCCGTCCAATTGCCAGTCAATAACCTGCCTGTGCAAAACAAGGAAGCTACTGTCTGGCAACAGAGTGATCAAGATGTATAGGCACATGCCTCAATACAGGAGCAGGGCCCAGACAGGACTTGGTAACGCCCAGACAGTCAAACACCAGCCACTGATCAACAGACACTAAAGACTGTAAGTACAGAAAAAACAATCTGTGCACTGCCTGGATTGACCACAAGAAAACCAACGACTCCCACATATGGATACTGGAGTGTTTGGAGCTGTACAACATCAACAGGACATAAAGAACCTTCATCACAAACTCAGTGGGACTGTGGAAAACAACACGAGAGGCCAATTCAAGGCCAATTGCACAGATTAGCATCAAGTGCAGAATATACCAAGAAGATGCTCTTTTCCCTTGTGTTCTGCACAGGCCCGAAGCCCCTAAGCCAGATCATCACAAAGAGTGGCTTCAATTCCCAACTCCAAAGTGGAGCCACCATCAGCCACCTCCTCTACATAGACCACATCAAGGTGTACGCTAGAAATGAGCAACACATTGACTCACTGATCTGTAGCACCAGGATCAACAACACTGGAATGTCAGTCAGACTGGACAAGCATTGTTGGATGGTCTTAAAGAAGGGCAAAATGATCCCTGCTGAAGTGGTTCAACTTTGAGAAGGCAACATAGCTGATGTTCATCTACAAACACCCACAGGTCCCACAGGGACATGAAAACCCTGGAGTATCTGCAAGGAGGTCAGCCACAGGTCAACACATACGCTCGCTGGCGATCAGATACGCCGCTGGGATATTAACTTGGCCAAAAGAAGAGATGGAGGCCACTGATAGCAAGACAAGAAAGCTCCTCACAATGCATGGAGGGTTTAAGCTCAAGTCCAGGACCTGGAATGTGTATAGAAAGAAGAAGGGGGCCAAGGACCAGGGGGTGTCAGAACTACTATGCAGGATGAAACAAGAAGATCCAGGAATACTTCTGGAAGATGGTCCCCTTTAAAGTGACTGCAATAAAAATTTTTAAAAAAAAACAGCCATAAAAATATTTTATATTAATGTGATCTTCAGTTTTCACCAATAAAACTGTTAAACCAGCACCGGCCTTGATCATAACTAATAAATATTCACTGTCAGGACTTTAACTCTTCCCTGTTATTTTGTTTTAAAGCCACTGCTGGTTTTTATGATTTAAAAAATAAAAACAACAACAAAATAACGATATTGTCTATATAAGAAATGCTCAAGGGGATTATTTTTTGGATTATCATGATGTAGGACACGTTAGTCATGAGCAGCAACACATCAAAGAAGTTCACATCTCTACAAACCTTACGAACCCGAACCCTTCAGGACAGAAACTTCAGCGTCGCAAAACACTAGAAAATCATTCTCATTTTTGTAAAAAACAAAAACTGAATTATTTTCCGTACACTAAATCCTAAGAAGATTTTTAAAGCTGTCACAGTGATCAGCAACAGCAGGTGTTAAATATGTTCTAAGGCCTCATTATTATTGGTGCAAGTCAGATTTTAAATAAATAAAAACTCACACTCTGGATGTTAAAGACAAAAATGCTCCCATCGGTATTATATTCCACTTTGACTGATTTAAAACCTTCAGCCCACATCATCGGCACCAAGTCTTCATCCACTCTCTGGGTTTTAATGCTTTCAGTGTTTGTTCACATATTTCCACTGTTGCATTGAAGAAAATGAATTCTTTTCCATCCACTAAATGCTCAGAGGANCCAAGTGTCCATGGGCAAGACACTGAACCCAAAGTTACTCCTGATGTGTGTGTGAATGAGAAAACACTGTAAAGCGCTTTGAGTAGCACGAAGGTGGAACGGTGCTTTATAAGTGCAGACCATTTACCACGCGCCTATGGACACCGCAAAACCCAACATCTAACTACAAAACAACTTCAACTCAGTGTTCTCATGTCTGTAAACAAGTAGCAATCCCAAGTGACAGCAAAATACCATGGGCTGAGAGAGGAGCTAGAAAAGATGTGAAAGGTGAAGACAACAGCTGTGACCCCCAAACTGGGAGAGTGGCTTCAGCAGATCCCAGGAACAACATCTGAGATCTCTGTCCAGAAGAGTGCAGTCCTCAGAACAGAAACACATTGTAAAGCGCTTTCTATAAAAGCGCTATATAAGGCAGACCATTTAAAGTGCATTCAGTTAAAGGAGACTAAGCTGAAAAATAATGCTGATTGATTTTGATGATTTAATGATTTTAAGTTATAAAACCAAACATGGTTACTCTGGTCAGATTTAATCAAAATATTTATTATGTTAATTGGTTACAGAGCTGAATGCTGCTTGTTAAATCCTGAGAGGAACAACAGCAGAGTGAACTGAGACAGAACAATGATTAATCTACAATGAAACTAATTTTACACAACAGTCGTAATGTTAATTGCTCCGTTTCCATCCAGTTTTGTAATGTTATTATGGACATTTTAAATAAAAAAAAAAAAACACACACAAACACAAAAAGTTCTTTCTCCTGACAGAAATGGAAAACTTGGAGTGTTAATCAAGGTAGAAGTGATAAAGTTCAAGAGAAACAGGATGACAGAATACCTGATGACTCCGAGTGCTTCAGAAGGAGAAAGCTCGACTTCTCTTTTTGCTTCTTGAAGACACCACTTATCAGGTACTTAGAATGCATCCTGACATCCATCACCAGTCAGTTTCAGCATCGTTAACATCTCAATCAGGTGAATCGAGGGTCATTAACGGGCTTTAAGTCACATGTTTTTGCTGTGAGAATAAATAGAAGGAAACTCTTAGATGAAGGTGAAACAAGAATCAGAAAGAGAAGTCCAGCTGCTTCTGAAACACTGATGATTAACACGACTTGGTTTACTGAACCTACAGATGATGAATGATGAAATCAGATAAATTAAATGTCTCTCCAGCTTCTGCTGTGAGCAGAACTCCTCCAGATGCACACCTATCGGCAGGTTCAGCTAAAGTCCAAGTATCGTTGCCTCTGCAGAATCACAGCGTTTTGTTTCTGGAGGATGAAGTGGATTCTTACAGTTTTCAGTGGTGCTGCTGCAGTGCAGTGATATTTGAAGTCAGAATCAGAATCAGAATCAGAATCAGCTTTAATGGCCAAGTACGTACACAACATACAAGGAATTTGGTTTCGGCTGTTGGTGTCGCCCCAGGAATTTGCACGAATAATAGAAATAGGAAAATTAAAAAATAAAATAAAGTAAAATAACTAAAGAAAGAAAAGAATAAAATACAATAAATGTCAATAAAAAAATAAAACAAGATGATAAGACAAATATATACAAGAATTTACACATCATCGTCATACATGATGTCCCAGTGTGACGCTTTCCATCATGTTCACACATTCATGTTCTTCCTTTGATGTTTGTCCTGCACTCTTGAAACTCCATCATCTCTCGTCTTCAGCGAGTGACTGGAGGGTTAGCGCCACCTGCTGCTGATCTCAGAGAACCAACTCTGAGTGAAGGAATTACTGTTTTGGATGGAAACGGGCACTCATTCATTATGTTTTACCGATTTTTTGTAAAATTTGGTGAAATTTTGCGTGATGGAATCAGACAAATGAAAGTTTGGTGTTGAAGCATGAGACAGATCTGCTTCTCTCAGACCTACAGCTCACACAAAGACACTGAGGAGCCTGAGGAGATTGCAAACCCAGGATACAGAGGTTTAGTGAAGGTGGTGGTGTAGGTGTAGAGGTGCATCAGAGAACCAGAGGAGACTCTGTAGAAGGACAGAGTTCCTGCAGGAACGTCCACATAAACTGCTACTCTGTGAGAGACTAGGGAGGAACTGATGGGTATATCTCTATTATTGTGTTTGGCAGTGTAACCTTTAGCATCAGAGCAGAACAGACTCCAGGACTGACCATTAAATCCAAACAGACAGTCAAACCTCTTTCCTTTCCTGTTGATTCCTCTGTAACTCACTGATATAAGAACCTCTCCTTTCCACTGTACCTGCCAGCAACAGCGACGAGTCAGACCAGTTGTACACAGCAGCTGAGGCCAGTCATCAAACCTGTGTGGATGATCAGGATATGACTGGTCCTGATTTACACAGGTCACCATCCTGTTGTTGTCAGACAGTTTGAGTTGGCTGTTGATTGTGTTCACGTCGACTGTGAGTTGACAGGAATCTGAAAAAGAGAACAAACAGAACAGAGCTGCAGTTAATCATCTGCTGGTTGTTGAGTTGCACCAATAAAAACAACAGTAAAGCTTCAAAGACACTCACACTTGTTCAGAGCAGGTTTCAGTCTGTGAGCTCCTCTATGATCCACCCTGCAGAAGAACCACAGTCACAACCAGCTTCAGACACCTTCACTCATACCAGCAGGAAACACAAAGCTCAGTTCACCACAGACAGAGAGACAAAGTCTGTCCATGAGTCCACCTGTCTGTCCTGAGTCCATCAGTCTGTCCTACGAGTCTAACTGTCTGTCCTGAGTCCATCTGTCTATACCTGAGAGTTTCCAGTCTGCAGTCTGGATATTGCTGTAGAGTCAGCAGCAGCTCCTCTCCTGCATCCCCTGGATCGTTGTTGCTCAGGTCCAGGTTCCTCAGATGGCTGCGGTTTAATGACAGAGCGAAGACCAGAGAAGAACATCCTTCCTCTGAGACCTGACAACCTGACAGACTAAACACATACAAATTCTCAGTATAAAATTTTCCAGAAGATTCTTTATAAACAGTTAAATCCTGACCTGAGAGTCTCCAGTTTACAGTTTGGACTCTTGAGTCCAGCAGAAAGAAGCTTCACTCCTGAATTCTGTAGGTTGTTGTTACTGAGGTACAGATGTTTCAGACTGGAGGATGGAGAGCTAAGGACTGAGGACAGAGCTTCACAGCTTCTCTCTGACAGGTTACAGCTGCTCAGTCTGAAGAAGGATTGTCATTATAAATCATCAGGAAATACTTCAAGTAAACACAAGCACAGATGGTCGAACTTTTAATCCTGACCTGAGAGTCTCCAGTTTACAGCTGCTCCTCATCAGTCCAGCAGAAAGAAGATTCACTCCTGAATCCTTCAGCTTGTTGTTAGTCAGCTCCAGCTCTGTCAGACTGGAGGACTCAGAGCCGAGGACTGAGTTCAGAAATTTACAGCTTCCCTCTGAGAGGTTACAGCTGCTCAGTCTGAAGAAGGATTGTCATTATAAATAATTAGGATTAACTTCAAGTAAACACAAGCACAGATGGTCAAACAGTTAAATCCTGACCTGAGAGTCTCCAGTTTACAGTTTGGACTCTTGAGTCCAGCAGAAAGAAGCTTCACTCCTGAATCCGGTAGGTTGTTGATACTGAGGTCCAGATGTTTCAGACTGGAGGATGGAGAGCTAAGGACTGAGGACAGAGCTTCACAGCTTCTCTCTGACAGGTTACAGCTGCTCAGGCTGAAGAAGGATCAGTGGAAAAAAACAAAACATAACATGAAGATTTTTTAATGTCTAAAGAGAAAGTCACATTTAATCTGGACAGGAAAGTTTGTACGTACTCAGCTTTGTTGGAGGCTTTGACCACTGGCAGCAGCCTCAGAAGAGCCTCCTCTGAAGCAGAGTATTTCTTCAGGTCAAACACGTCCAGATCTTCTCCTGATGACAGTAAGATGAAGCCCAGAGCCGACCACTGAGCAGGAGACAGTTCATCTGTGGACAGACGTCCTGATCTCAGGGACTGTTGGATCTCCTCCACTAGAGAAACATCCTTCAGTTCATTCAGACAGTGGAACAGATTGATGCTTCTCTCTGCAGACACGTTCTTCCTGATCTTCTTCTTGATGTACTCCACTGTTTTCTGATTGGTCTGTGACCTGTTGCCTGTCTGTCTCAACAGGGCTCCTAGCTTCTCCTGATTGGTGGGCAGTGACAGACCCAGGAGGAAGCGCAGGAACAAGTCCAGATGTCCGTTTGGACTCTGTATGGCCTCGCCCACAGCTCTCTGGTAGAAACCTGTTGTTGGATCAACTTTCTTTCTAAACACTTTAGGCAACAGAGACGTTTGTTGTTCTTTTTCCAGCAGGTTGATTCCAGAGTTGATGAAGGTCTGATGGACATGAAGAGCAGCCAGAAACTCCTGAACGCTCAGATGGACGAAGCAGAACACCGTGTCCTGGTACAGCCCTCTCTCCTCTCTAAAGATCTGTGTGAACACTCCTGAGTACACTGAGGCTGCTCTCATATCGATGCCACACTCTGTCAGGTCGGACTCGTAGAAGATCAGGTTTCCTTTCTGCAGCTCCTCAAAAGCCAGTTTTCCCAGAGANAAAAAAAACAGCCATAAAAATATTTTATATTAATGTGATCTTCAGTTTTCACCAATAAAACTGTTAAACCAGCACCGGCCTTGATCATAACTAATAAATATTCACTGTCAGGACTTTAACTCTTCCCTGTTATTTTGTTTTAAAGCCACTGCTGGTTTTTATGATTTAAAAAATAAAAACAACAACAAAATAACGATATTGTCTATATAAGAAATGCTCAAGGGGATTATTTTTTGGATTATCATGATGTAGGACACGTTAGTCATGAGCAGCAACACATCAAAGAAGTTCACATCTCTACAAATCTTACAAACCCGAACCCTTCAGGACAGAAACTTCAGCGTCGCAAAACACTAGAAAATCATTCTCATTTTTGTAAAAAACAAAAACTGAATTATTTTCCGTACACTAAATCCTAAGAAGATTTTTAAAGCTGTCACAGTGATCAGCAACAGCAGGTGTTAATATGTTCTAAGGCCTCATTATTATTGGTGCAAGTCAGATTTTAAATAAATAAAAACTCACACTCTGGATGTTAAAGACAAAAATGCTCCCATCGGTATTATATTCCACTTTGACTGATTTAAAACCTTCAGCCCACATCATCGGCACCAAGTCTTCATCCACTCTCTGGGTTTTAATGCTTTCAGTGTTTGTTCACATATTTCCACTGTTGCATTGAAGAAAATGAATTCTTTTCCATCCACTAAATGCTCAGAGGACTTGTTGATTATCAGATGAATAAAAACTCACACTCAGGACCTTAAGGACACAAACGTCCCCGAGGCTGCACGACGGTTAGTAATCAATGTTTTATTCCATCATTTAAAATGACAGCAGCTTTTTAAATCGATGTGCAGTCTGCTGATGGACGTCCTCATGGAGGACAAAGCTGCTGCTCATCACCAGGTCTGATGGGAACGAACGCTCTTCAGTCTGGAAGCAAAGGAAACACATGAAAGGATTCACATCAACAACTACACACAGGTCAAAAAACAAAGAAATGGAGGAAATGTTCAACGACATTCAACGTCTGCTTGACTTATTTCTTAAAATCACTCTTTTTTTAGACTGAATTGCAGTTTTTGGGGTAAAATTCTTGAGCAGCTGCTTGTGTTCAGAAACTAAACACAATCAGGATGCTTGAGAAAGTGCAGTCAGTGGCTTTAGACAGTTTCATCCATAAACGGCTCTGATTCTCTGACGATGAATCAGTGAAACAGCTGGATGCTAGTCTACCAGCTGATAAGTCATCGGTGAACGTCTGCAGATGAAACTCCGTCATAAGGTGAGTCTCAGGTGTTTCTGACCTTTTCAGCAGCTCTTCCGTGGACACGTGTCCGTCGTCGTCGTCGTCGTCCTCTGAGCTGCTGTCCGACGCCTCCTTCTTACTCTTCTTCTGCTGCTTCACCTTGTGTTTGTGCTTCTTCTGTTTCTTCTTCTGCAGACAAAACAGAAGCTTCAGTCGAGAGAAGCAGCAGCTGCTTTCATCTGCCCACCTCACCGTCACTGCTCTACCTTCTTGTCCTTCTTGTGTTTGTGCTGCTTCTTGCTCTTGTGTTTCTTGTCTTTGCTCCTCCTGCTGGGTTTCTGCTCCTCGCTGACGGCGCCTCCTCTGGCTGAGCAGGAGAACAGCAGGCGGAGGTTAGTCCACATTTGTACAAACACATCTGGTTTTCCTTTGAATGTTGCCCCAAGTCGAGTTGTTTGTGTGACAGTCAGATCAGGAGAAAATATTTAAGTGAACATTTTAAACGCTGCACAAAAGACCTGAACAACCAAAGTGTGCAGTTTTATGTCAGATATTTATAATGATTTCTGTCACAATCTGGTTATTTAGAAAGCTGCAGCAAGTTCCTGCTGTTTTGTGAGAGTCCTCGTGTCCCTGACTTTAGGTCTCTGGCCTTACTTTGGTGGCTGAGTTTACCTGATTTTAAGGACTTCTGAACCCTCTGAACCAGAGGGAAGGTGATGATATTTATCAAAACGCCATAAAAAGTACAAAAACACACCATTTATGTTGAAATAACCATTTGTGACGTGCGTCTCCAGGAGGAACAAAACCCAAATATGAGCTTTAAAATCATTAAAAATCACTTTATTCTACACGTCTACATTAAAAATTCCCTAAAAATGAGCCGTTGCAGCAGATGAGGTTTGAAAACCTTTGATCAGGTTTCCATGCTTTGAAAAGGTTCCATATCTGGAAAGCTTCTTGTCGACGGCGACTCGAACTCAGACCAGAAGAACAAATAAAGAAGCTTAAAGGCAGCTGGAGTTCATGTGACGTGAACAAAGTGTTTCTAGAGACAGACTCACGGAGAGCAGCTGACGGAGGCGGCAGCTTCGGACCAAACTCCTCCTCCACCTCCTGAGTCGGAGCTTTAGAGGAAACTGCTGCTGCTGAAGGAGACAAAAAGAGTTAAACGTCCATCAGTACAGAGCTCCAACAACAACAAGAGTCTGGTGGAGTGAGCTGTAGCACCTGTGGGCTGCCTGGGCGTAGCAGAGGAGGAGGTGATGGAGGTGGAGGTGGCTGAGGAGGTGATGGAGGTGATGTTGAACAGGTTCAGAGGCTGTGAGTCCATCTGTCCTTCCTCCTCCTTGCCGTCCTTCCCGTCCTCCTCTTCGTCGCTCTCTCCCTCCGATGAAGACGAGGACTTGTCCTCAGATGAGCTGGCGAAGATGGCCTTAAACAGATCCATGGGAGGCCTGTCCTCCTCCTCCTCCTCCTCCTCCTGCTCCTCTTCATCACCTGCTTTCTTCTGCTGATCTGCTGCCTTCACCTGGACCAACAGATCAAGTCTTTAGATTCAATCACAGCCTTCATCAGACTTTCTGTGTCGACACCTGAACACATCCTGTTCTCTGATCGCTCATCACTGCTCAGTCTACCGTCACAGGTTCAACAATCACACAACTGAGGCCCTTTTTAATTAAAGAATTACTCACATCGACACAATAATGTTCAAAATGACTCAAAACCTGTCCAGACTTGTACATAATAGTCCAGAACAACTCAGAGAGAAGAGTCCGGACCGTCCACATGCACACAACAGCACCATCTGTTCTCCCAATAATAATATCAATATTCTGTATAAAGGTTCAGTTCTACGCTACAGGTGTGTCCTTCGTCCACCATGCCACACCTGGACAGAGCCACATGTGAGCTGATCTCACCCTGTACGCCGTCTTTATCACAGCTGTATTTGGAGCCCTGTTGTTCTTCAGTAGTTCCTTCTTTCAGCCTCGTCTGTGTCCTGCTGCTGGAACGTTTCCCTGCTGAGGGACCACTGAAGGCCACCTGATCTTTAGTCTAGCACACCTCACCTCTGTCTGAGCGCTGATGGAGGCAGACGAAGCAGGTAAAGCAGGTAAAGCAGGAGTTTTCTCCACTTGGTTCTCGGCTTGGCTCCGTGCAGCGCTCAGCATCTCACTCAGCGGGTCGTCGTTCTTCTTCTGCTGCTCTGACACGTCCCACCTGGACTTCTTCATGGACTCTGGAGGCTTCGGAGGAGCTGAGGAGGAGGAGGAGGAGGAGGAGGAGGAGAAGAATTACTTCAGATTACTGAATATGAAAGAATGAATATTTCAAAGTCATTCTCAAATAACCTGATTTATTATTGAACTGAAGCTGTTCACTGATACCAGCTGCAGCTCTTTATAGACATTCACCTTTTTGTCTTGAACATAAATCATCTTTTGTCCCTCTGAAGGTTAAACCAGTAATAAAAACTGCTCATAAGGTGACCTGCGTGACATCACAGTGACATCACAGCGACACCTGAGCGCGGCCTCACCTGTCGACTCTCTGCTCTCGGTCACGGTCAGGAAGTTGAACACGGAGAACTTGTCTCTCTTCACTTTGGGCAAGCCGACCATCCCGGACCTGCAACCACAGTCAGAACCGATCAGTCGGGACTTAACCACAGTGCTGGGTTTAAGGTGCTGTTGGTTCTGAGGGTTCTGGGTCGGTACCCTGGATACGGGTCGGGCACGTTGAACCTCTTGCAGAGCAGTTTGTCTGGATGCCAGTCGAACGTCTCCCTGGTCAGCTTTCCAAACATCTTCATCGTCACGGCGGCCTGCTTGTCTTCCACGTCGCCCTGGCAACCAGACACACCTGATGTTCACTGGGGGGGTGGTGGGTCGATCAATCGATCAATCAGTCAGTCAATCAACCAATCAGTCAGTCAGCCAGTCAGTCGGTCGAGTTAAGACTAAAACTAGTCAAGACCAGACCTGGATAAAAGTCAAAGTTCATAAACACAGAATAATAAACAATAAACACACTCAGCCTGAACTATTTAAACTGAATCAATAATCAATAAAGACTGATCAATAACTGGACTCCATCCTGGTTTTAAAGGCGGGTCGGGACCACGTCAGGCCGGCCCACTTCGGCCTCCTACCTCCTGGTCCCGGCTGACCTCCACCGTATCCTCGTCCTCCTGGTGCCTGGCTCTGGTGAACCGGGTCGACAGCGAGGAGGACGTGGGTCGGTACAGGATGGAGGCCCGGACGAACTCCTCCCTCTCCCGGCTGCGCTCCCACTCCGTCATGGCCGGGTCCAGACTCTGGTCCAGGGCGTCTGAGGGGAGACGGGTTCACGTGTCAGTGCCTACGACCCAAACCTGGTTCTGGTTCTACTGGTCTGTTTTTACATCCAACATATAAAAGCTGATCATGAACGTTTAACAGTGTGTTTAATCTGCAGAGCGTGTTTTGTTGACTAAACGTTTTAAACCGTCTCCAGCTCTCGTCGTGTCTAATCAGCAGCGCGTTGCTGCTGCAGTGCATGCTGGGACATCAGGACCTCCTACCTTTGTCTCCCTGTCTGAGGCGGCCCAGGTAGAGCTCGTATCGTGCCTGTTTGCTCGGGTTTTTCTCAAACGGTCTGAAGGTTTGTGTAGATGTTTGAACTCCTCTCCAGGCGGCCAGAGCTTCCTGCTGCTGCTGGAGGCCTGAAGAGGGAGGAGGCACCACCCGGGACTCTGTGCTGGAGGTCTGGATGGAGGTCTGGATGGGGGGCTGGCTGGAGGTCTGGATGGAGGCATTGCGGAGGCTCAGCAGACGCTGCCTGTCTTCAGGCCTCAGCAGCTCCATGACTGAACTGGGACCTGACCAGGATGAAACAGAATCCATCAGGAACCAGTTACTGCAACACAAAGCTGAACACAGTCGAGTCTGAACGGACACAGGAGGAGTTTCTGGCTGAAGTGGTTCTGGTTCTGGATTAAAAAACTTTCAGAGCCTCCGTCAGCTTTTCTGCAGCTGAAGGTTTCCAGGAATGTTTGTGAACGTTGTCTTGGAAACCTCCTGGTGAGGAGCAGAGCTGGATGTGAAATCAGAACAAACCAACAGCTTCACCACAGCCTCATCGGTTCATCTGCTACCAAACTGGGACACAAACAGTTCCTAAAACTAATTAAACGTGTCGTAGACCAGCTGCAGTACCTGGTTGTTCCACCAGGTGGAGCCTCTCCCTGTTTAGTCCTGTAGAAACCAGAGGAGGCGTCTACAGACTACAGCTCCTGGCGGCAGCAGAGAGCATTGTGGGAGTTTAGCAGCAACGGGACCATGACAGAGACTCTGAGGAGGTTCAGGACCTCCAAGCAGAACTCTGGTTCTTAAGATTGTAGATAAAACAGTCGCTGACTAAAACATGAGCATCAGCACAGGACGAGTGTATGTTCAGTACGTGTCATCAGTTCAGTGATTATTGATTTATAACGCTGCTGATCATTGATTTTACAAACATTAAGGATTCTGCTCTCTCCTGACAGCAGCTGTGTGACATCAGATATGAACAGAGGACCAGGTGGAGGTCAAAGCTGCTGCCGACCAGTTAAAGGAGCCTCTCGATCCGACATCTTAAACCTCCACATCACATAAACCCTCAGACGGTGTAATGCACTGTGCAGCCTGCGGGGGCGCCCCGTCCCACCTTGCAGGGCGTCCTCCCCCAGCAGCGTCCTCCTCTGTCCAGAGTCCAGCTGGTGTCGTCCTCCCTGCTCAGGTTCTTCCTTCACCAGGTGGCCTCTGGACGTCCTCAGAGCTTCGGCCAGAGCCGGACTGACGCCGGACAGACGAGCGACCGACGGACGGAAGCGATGGACGGGGCGGTAGTCTCTGGGCAGCGCCGGCGGAGGGAAGATCTGGAACGACAGGGAGGTGTGAGGGCAGCTCTCAACCAGACAGACGGAGGTGTTCAGACCCTCTGGAGATGCTCACGGTTTTCTCCTCGGCTGGCTTCTGGGCCAAAGTGAATCCTTCCAGGATCTTGCCGAGGTACGACGTGTCTCTGCTCCTGTCTGGGAACAAAACACGTTGGAAGTCCTGCAAATGTTCTGACGTGTTCTGAGTGTAGAAGAGTTCAGATTCAAACCGACGATCAGGAACCTTCAGATGTTCTAAAGTCCACGCTACCTTTGTTCTTGGTGTACTGCTGCGGCGCCGTCCATCCGAACAGTCCGTCTCCAGGCTCCTCCCCTCCCAGCACCTTGTCGTACCTGGACATGGAGTCTCTGTGGTAGACGTCCTCATCATCGTCGTCCTCCAGCGCCCCGACGCCGAAGGCCTGCAGGTCAAAGGGCAGCAGGAGGCCTGAGACCAGCTGGTAGGTCTATAGCGCCTCCGACTGGCCGACTGCTCACTGACAGCTCACAACTTTATCTCATGACTTTAACTCATGACTTTCACTTTAGATGTAGAATTTAGATTTTTTAAACTCACAATATGAAACTTCAGAACATCACAGAGACTTTTTAAATTAATGTTTAACATTTTGATCACATCATTTCAACATTTTCACTCAGAATTTAAATTTTTTGTTCTTTTTTTTTTAACTTTAACTCATAATTGTGACTTTTTAGACACAAATTTCCAACTTAGAGAATAATTTTGACTTTTTAAATGATTGGTTCAGATTTTTATCACATTACTTTTAATTCTCATTTCATAATTTCTACATTTTTACTCATAATTTAGATTTTTTTCCTCATAATTTTGACTTTTAATCTTGTTACTTCAAGTCCTTCCTGCTGGTTTTAAGAAGTACGTTTTACGTCAGGTGACTCTGGGGGTTTCAGAAGTCCGGCTGCTTTCTAGGAAACCAGGTAATGCCCACCTGTCCGGCCACGCCTCCTCTCCTGGCGCCGCTCCGAGCGTCTCCGAACAGCCGGCTCCTGGTCTCAGACTGAGGCCTGAACAGGTCGATGTGTTCTGGAGCCTCGTGGCCCAGCAGCGCCAGGCCCGGGTCCAGACCGCGGTACCCCAGACCCTGAAGGCCCGTCCTGGGGCTGAAGTCCACTGGAGTCACGTCCTTCGGAGCAAAAGTCACGTTCTCCGGAGCAAACTCGTCGTCGTCATCCTGATGAAACAGTAAAAGAGAAGAAAGCAGCAGGAGACACACACCAGAGGTGTTATTAATACAAATTATTAGTAATGAGCACGTCGTTCTTCATCATCAGAGCTCAGAGCCACCAAACAGACGAAGCAGAAAACAGTCACGTATGTCTGTGAAGTTTCTGCCTCAGTGTCTGATCATTATTCTCAACCCTCTGAGTAAAGCTGCAGGCTGATTCTTTCATTATTAGCTACTAAATTAATCTTGTTTTAATCATCAATTAATCACTTTGATTGTTTAATTGTTTTAAGTATTGTTGTGTATTTAAGTATTATTTAATAAAACTCTGTGGGTTCAGCTTCGTCAGTGACTCTGTTCTGGTTTCTTCCCTCTGTGACACTAAACTGAACATCTTTGGACTGAACTGATCCAGATGAAACGTTCAAGGACCAGCGGAAAGTTGGAAACCAGATAATCTTCAGACCAGCTGATCGATTCATTCACAAAACAATCCACCGTTAAATGATCATTAGCTGCACCTCTGAGTCCTCCGAGCCAGCAGGGGGCAGCGCACAGCTGTAAACTCTGCTTCCACCGTCTGTCAGGAGCACAAAGAAGAACAAAACCTTGACACATCAGAAACAGGACTCCCGATGAGAATGAAGCAGGATGAGATACGAAGGACAAAGCAGGATAAACAACTAAACAATTACGTTTAAAATACCTGAATAACTAAATCAGAGTGTGGGCGGTTACGTTGCCGTTAAACAGGTTTAAAAACTCATCTGTTCGGCTTCGATCAGACTAATTAATGAGTAAAACAGCTCTCATTGTTTTTTGTTTTGTTGTAAAGTGCCACGTCTCATGAAATCAGACTCTGATATTCATTTTATTCTGCCTTTACTGGATGTATGTATTTATTCCATCTATGACTGTATTCTCTCTGTCTGCTGGTGTTGGCAGATGTTAGCTGGTCTAAAGGTGAAGAACCTGACAGGAGACTCACCTGTCTGCTGCCGGCCAGCTCTCCTCTTCACTCGCGGCCCGACGCCTTGGCCCTCCCTCCAGCCCATCTTCCTCAGCAGCTCCACCCCCACAGACGACCTGACAGACGAAACCAACGCACCTCATGAGTCTCGTTCTGGTTGTTTTGTGTCTTTAATGACGTTGAATGTCTGGTTGTCCTACCTGGCAGGTGTGATGAGCTCCTCCAGCAGCGTGTCTCCGGGGATCAGAGCAGCCTGGGCGTTGACAGCTTTCGCCTTCTCAGCGGCTTCGTCCCGGCGGCTGGACGCGAACTCCAGACTGGTGGTGATTTCTGAGGGAGCGATCCCGTGTTCGCTGAAGTCCTGAACCGAGAACAACAAACATCAGCTCCACGGTCGCCTCATCGCTTCTTTAAATACGAGACGGGAGAGCTTTACCTCCTCGTCCATGAAGTCTTCTGGACGGGCATCGTGTTTCTCAGCCTTCTGTTGCCGTGACGACACAAAGGTCGACGGCGTCCAACCTGAAGAGGAGGAGAAACCAGATGACTGAAGTGGGCCGAACCAAAAGGTTGAAGGGAAAATAAACCGACTGGGACTCTTTCAGCATCACAGACACGCGGGTTCTCAAATCAGGTCCGAAACCAGCTTGAAACCAAGTTCAACACCAGGCTGGGATTAGGTTGGAAACCAGTCTAAACACAAGTTATGAACCAGTCTGAAACCAGTTCAAAACCAGCAATAAACCAGTCTAACGCCTTTCCAAACCAGTCTAGAACCAGTTTCTAACCAGTCTAAACCAGACCCTGATCTCATGGTGGATTAAACAAACGCTCCGTTGTGCCTTGTTGTTTTTCTTAAACCCTGAACCGTTTCTCGTCCATTTCGTTTCCTTTGGAGGTTTTCAGCATCACACTGAGTCTCTGTGGAGTTCGTCTGTAGCTCCTCATCTGTCTGAGGATTCATCTGGAGTTCTGCTGAGGACCGACTGACCTTCTTTAGAGCCGACGGTGTTGAAGTATCCGGCTGAGAACCCTCCGGTGAACGCTCCATGAAACCTCTTGTACCGGCCTTTCTCATCCTTCACCGTCTGTTCGTGCAGCGGGACGGGCTTCTTCAGAGGCTCGTCTGCAGGAAACAGGAAGAAGAACGNTCTGGCTGCTCTCCTGGATGCTGCTTCAATCTGTCTGACCTCATGTTCCTCATTGACCTCTGCAGTCCCTCCCTCTGTGATGTACAGCTCTGTGTAGACCTCATCCAGGAGGGTCCACTGTCCTGCTTTAGCGATGCCCTCAGACACTCTCTGGAACTTCTGCTTCAGGCCACGTTTAAGTTTACGTTTACAAGCTGCAGCAGCAAGTTCTGAATGAAAACACAATAAACCACAACAAAAGTATAAATAACCTGCAAATGAACAGATGAGCGTGAATAACAGGGATATTAACGGAAGAACATAAAAAATCTGAATATTAACAGAAAAGCATCACTACCCTGGAAAATAACATACAAACGTATTCAATAACCTACATATCAATTCAATTCAAATACCTTTATTTATCCCCTAGGGGCAATTCAAAAGCTCACTGAGTATGTAATATAAAGACACCCAAAATAAAAATAGTAAAAATAGTAAAAATAAATACTAAAATAATAATAATATAAAGTAAAATAAAACAATAAACCACATCACAAATATTACATTATATTATACTGGCATTGGCAGGGAGTCAGCAGGTCAAAGATGGATATAAGATATAATTCATAGAAGTATCAGTAACCTGGTTAGTGGTGCACAGAATGATCAGTACCATCCTACAGAATGTGAATATATTCTGAGACTTTAGTAAATGTGCTGTTGATCAGCAGCTTCAGTCTCCAAACAAATCCTCTTACTGCTCTGCAGACGCTCAGCCAGCTTCTCCTGCTTCATCCTCCTCAGGAACAACACTGTGATCTGCTCAAACATCTCTCTGCTGCTCCTCTCATCTTCATCCTCCTCCTCATCCTCCCTCTGACTCTCGGAGCATTGTGGGTAATCTGGACGCAGAACCTTCTGCATCTTCTTCAGCTCATTCTTCACAGAAGTCACCATGTTGTCCTCCAGCAGCTGGAACATAGAGATCAGTGGATCATTAAAGTGGTTCATGGTCTGAACACGGCAGCATGGACACTGTTAGGACCTGAAGGATCCTTCAGCACTTCATCTGTTCTCGTGTAGTTCACCGTGAAGAGTCAGTTTGTACATGTACACACCATAAATATGGAGTCCAGCTCTGGTTGATGCTGCTGGTCAGACGGAGCTCTGGGAACCTCTGAGCTCTGCTGCTCAACTCTGTGGAGGGAACATCATGTTTAAGGAAAATAACTGACTCATTCATAATTAATAATGACTTATTAGCTGCAGCTCCACTGTCAGAGGAAGAAGTGGACATGAAGGAGTCTGTACTGTGTGGAGGGAGAATATCAGGAGCTGACGATCAGATCAGAGTCAGAGGCAATGACATGATGAAATTCCAGATAAGTTATCTGGTGGTACTCCTGATTTTAAATGAGTGCAGTTTAATCATTAAATGTAGTTAAACTACAGATCAAAACTTAAATGTTGTGGTGACACCCTCCTCTACTACGAAGCTCTGGACCCAGACAGGATTCATCTTCTCAGGAGAGTCAGATAAGAACAGAGTTCCGTTTGAAGTTCTTACCTTCCATCAGCAGGTTGTCCATCTTTAAAGACAACAGAAAGCGCCTTAGAGTGGTCAGACTTCATGGACACACAGCTGGGTGCACGAGACTCTGGTCTCTGCTGCTGCATCCTGATTCAAACAAACCAGAGACAATTCAAAGACTTTCAGCTGGAAGAAAAGATGNTTAATTACTTAAAGAGGCAACATTCTGAGTTTTGTCACACTTAATTATTATTTAAAGAGTCAAAATTGATATAAAACTTAAATTTAAAAAAATCTAAAATATGCTTTAGCAACACAAAATGTATTTAGTTAATTTATTGAGTTGACAAGTTAAAATTATGGTATTGACTTTAAAAAGATGATTTCTTTGAAAGCCACAAATGTGATTTTAAACAAAACAAAACAAAAACAAAAACTTTAAAATACCTATTTAGAGCTTTGAGGTAATCAGTCAAAATTGAGTCAGAAAGTCAAACGTATGAGTTACTGCATTTAAATAATTAGAGTTAAAGTCTTAGAAAAATATGTAATAAATGAATTAATAACTCTTGTTCAGTTTTTCCTCCTGAAAACAGACTCAGACCTGAAATATGACATTTAAAGGCTGCTACCAGGCCAGAATCAGACCTAATACATCAAACTGGTTGGTTTGTTTCCTCGCTAACTGGTTGAAGAAAACAGGACAAATTATATTTTCCACTAATAAAAGTCTTTACTGCAGTTCATACAACACAAACCACGTTAACCGATTAGAGGAAACTCTTGAGGTTTTCATAAAATTATGTTTAGCTTTGAGAATAACTCTTAAGCCGAACTAACATTTGGACAGTGTAGATTCCTAAAACATCTTAATTATTAATCCTCTCGATGTGTTCTTCAGGCGGTGTTCATCATAATGTTAAATTGACAGATTTTTGAATGAAGTCTGGATTACAAGCCAGGCGCTCATGCTAGCAGCTCAGAGCTAGCTATTAGCTAGCTGCTCGTTAGCTTAGCGGCCTGAAATAACCGCCGGAGCTCGTTTATCTTTAAGCTAAACACGCAGGAAGCAAAGCGGCGCAGAGGAGCCGCTAAAAGAGGCTTTAAAACGAACCCTACCTTCCTCCAGAGGCTCCAGGGGAGTCCCGTAAGTCACAAAATCCTCGTCGCTGTCGCTGTCGGACGCCATGTTTAAACTACAACTACGGTGCCTGCTCCAGTCCAAACCCTGCAGTAAAAGTCGAAGCGTTAAATTACAGGAAGTGCAACAGAAATGGCGCCGTCTCGTGGCCGCGACGTGAAGTGACTCCCGGGATTAAAGGACCAGTTCAGCAAAATCAGAGCAACAAACAGCTGGAGCCTTTTTCACAAAATACTGGCAAATACTTTTATTATTATAGCGAGAAGATGTTTGAATCCAAAGGAAGCTGACAATATAAATGAGTTCTTCAAAGGTTTTGATGCTCCAGTTCTGGTTTTTTAAAACACATGTAGATGTTTATGTTGTTGAGTCCATCATAAAAGTAATAGAAATAAATTAAATTTGGTATTTTTGTTCAAATATTTTCCCTGATTGTTTTTATTTACCAAATACGTATGGTCAGAGTTATCCTCAAAAATCATAATCATACATGAAAATGTTAAAATTATGAAAATTACAAATCGAATTAAAAACAATGATTTAATAAGTGGGATGTGTTTTTTTAAAGTCACAATTATTATCATTAAAATTTAACTTAAAAATAATGAAGTCAATATTGTGAGAAAAAAACATATGAAGAGTCTGAAATGAAAATTATGAGTTAAAGTTTAAAAAAAAAAAAAGGAATGAAAATGAGGACTGCAGGTGGATCAGTGGTTAGCATTGTGGCCTCACAGCTAGAAGGTCGCCGGTTGGCATCCCGGTGAGGACACCCGGGATCTTCCTGCGTGGAGTCTCCATGTTCTCCCCGTGCAGCGTG